TGGTAGGAAAGAGCAGCTGCAGCAGCATGGGTGACTCAGGAGTAAGGCTGCAATGTAATGGCCCCTTCCTGAGGAGATAAAAGCCAGCTGAGAAACCGGAGTTCTTTGCAGGAAGCAAAGAAGTTTTTGCACTCAAGCCTTGTGGATGTTCGGAATATCTTGGTTGGTGTTTGGAGACTTTTTGTATTTGAAATATTTCTTAGTAACTTTAATGTTCTTGGCAGCCTTGCACCACCTTGGCAAGACTCATTCTTATCAGAGATAATTAATTTGAAACAGCCTTTTAACCATGAAGGAACAGAATTCGTAAAGAATCATTAAAAGGTTTCGCTGTTACCTCTGTTTCGTGTTTGTTTCCTTGGAACAAGGTTTGAGTCAGAACAGCTGTGTGTGCTAGGGACATAATTATGCATACATAGGTAGCCCTCAACTTACGACCACAATTAAGGCCAAAATTTCCATTGCTAAGCAAGACAGTTGTTAAGTGAATACAACACCACCACCCCGCCACACACACACAATTTTAAGAGTGTTTCTTGCCACAGAATCACAGCAGTTAAGTTAGAAACATGTTTGTTAAGTGAATTTGGCTTCATTGTTTTGGCTTGTCAAAAGGTCGCAAAAGGGGACCCCCAGGACACTACAACCATCATAAATATGAGTCAGTTACCAATCAACTGAGTCGCTTTTTTTCAGGGCCATTGTAACTTTGAATGATGGGAAAACCAGCGGTTGTAAGTCAAGGACTAACTGTATAATGGGAAGCGTGGGGAGACAAAGGGAGAAATTATAATCCTATGTTCTTCTTAGGAGCAGGGTGTGCATTTTTGCTGAAAAGCCATTTCTCTTTCTCTCTCTTAGCACATACCGTTTGCGGGAAACGGCTGCTATTTATTTAACGTTATCACACAGCCAATAAATTAGCACAAAAAAATACAAATATATGCTACATAACAAAGGTAATGCTTGAATATTCAACACTCGGACAGAATTGAAATCCCAAAATAGGTATGGTGCCAAATTTGTTTTCACCCAGCAATAGGAAAATTGCACTCCCAAGCATTTTGAATGTGTTGTAATAAGGATGGTGTCAGGGTTCCAGCAATCACCCTAAATAAATCATGATTCTCGAGCCAAACTTCAAAAAACTTCAAAGGATTTATTAGAGGCAACATACTGGCCCTGCCCTGTATGAAGCCAACTCTGGCACACGTCATTTACAGTCCCCTGTGGCCCTGTTTCCCCCCTCCTCTCTGGGTGTGTCGTCAATCAGATTTTCCAATTGAGCCCCTTCACAGGCTGGGTGTCATCAATCACATTCTCCAATTAAATATATTTGTGGGCAAAAGCTCTGGTAGTTTAGTTACAATCTTTTAAAGAGAAGAGTTGGAATGTACTTTCGCTTCCAAACTGCTGCAACTCCTCTTCCACATTTCCTTCCTCCCCCCCTCCCCTTTTTTTATGGCAACTACTAAAACAGGCATAGGAATATTTTCTGAGTTGACAGATGCAGCAAAACTGGTGAAATACAGGCAGTCCTCGACTTACAACAGTTCATTTAGTGACCGTTCAAAGTTATAACGGTACTGAAAAAAGCTACTTAGGACCAGTTTTTTGTTTTTTTGTTTTGCAGCATCCGCATAATCATGTGATCAAAATTCGGACGCTTAGCAACAGGTTCATACTTATGACAGTTTGCAGAGTGTCCCAGAATCACGTGATCTCCTTTTGGGACCTTTGGATGAGCAGTCAATGGGGGGGGAAAGCCAGATTCACTTAACGACCGTGTTATTAATTTAACAGCTGCCGCGGTTCACTTAACAAACGTGCCCCCAAAGGTTGTAAAATGGGACAAAACGCAATGCATTCTCGCAACATAAATGTTCAGCTCCAATTGTTGGTCGTAAGTCGAGGACCACCTGCATTTATAACCAAGATTCCACCGCTTGTTAGCCACAGGTTAAAAGAATTAATAGGCAATCCTCGTCTTACAGACGCAATCGGGACCAGAGTTTTCATTATTAAGCATGTTTCAAATACGTCATGTCTTTGATTTTACAACCTTTTTGGTCCAACTGTTAGGCAAACCCCTGCAGCTGTTCAGTGAATCCCACGGTCATTAAGAGAATCCAGCTTCCCCCAGGCTCAACAGCAGGAACTGAGAGAGGGATCTTGGAGTCTTAGTGGACAACCAGCTAAATAGGAGCCAGCCTTGTGCAGCAGCAGCCAAAAAAGCCAATGCAATCCTAAGTTGCATTAACAGGGGGATACAATCAAGATCAAGGGAGGTACTAATACCACTCTATAAAGCGTTAGTAGGACCATACCTAGAGTACTTCATCCAGTTTTGGTCACATTATAAAAAAGATGTTGAGACTCTAGAAAAAGTACAGAGAAGAGCAACCAGGATGATTAGGAGACCGGAGACTAACACATATGATGAACGGTTGCAGGAACTGGGCCTGGCCAGTCTAGGGAAGAGAAGGACCAGGGGAGACAGGATAGCAGTCTTCCAATATTTGAGGAGGGGCTGCCACAGAGAGGAGGGAAGGGGTCAAGCTGTTTTCTAAAGCAACTGAAGGCCAGACAAGGAATTAATGGATGGAAACTGATCAAGGAGAAATTTAACCTGGAAACAAGGAGAAACTTTCTGACAGTGAGAACAATCAACCAAATGGAACAGAAATTGCCCTTGGAAGTTGTGGGAGCGCCATCCCTTGAGACTTTCAAGAAGAGACTGGGCTGCCATTTGTCAGAAATGGTGTAGGGTCTCCTGCTTGAGCGGGGGGTTAGACTAGATGACCTATAAGGTCCCTTCCAACTCTGATTATGTTATCCCCCGTTCACTTTGCTTGTCAGGCACTGGCTGGGGGAGATTGCAAATGGCAATCCCATGATGCTGTGACTGCCATAAATTCATGTAGGTTGTCAGGGACCTAGATTTTGACCAAGTAACTGTGGAGATGCTATGACGGTTGTAAGTGCGAGGACCGGTTGTAAGTCATCGTTTTTCAGTGCCACGGTAACTTGGAATGGCTGCTGAATGAACGTGGGTTGTAAGCCAAGGATTACTGGTGTGCTTCTGTCCTTCATACAGGAAGCCCTCAACTTACAACCACAACTGAGCCCAAAATTTACATTGCTAAGTGAGTCTTGCTCCATTTGAGGGCTTTTCTCACCAGATTTATTAAGTGAATCACTGCAGTTCTTGGTCGTTAAGTGAATCTGGCTTCTCCATTGACTTTGCCTGTTAGAAGTTTGCCAAAGGGGATCGTGTGATCCTGGGACACTGTAATGGTCATAACTTATGAGTCAGTTGCCCAGCATCCAAACGTAAATCACATGACTAGGGGGATACTGGAATGGTCATAAGTGTGAAAAATGGTCATAAGTCATCTTTTTTCAGTGCTGTTGTAACTTTCAAACAGTCACTAAATAAGCTAAATGACAGTCAAAATCTACCTGTTTCCCAACTTTTAACAGCTTGATGTGTGGACTTCAACTCCCAGAATTCCCCAGCCAGCATGCTGGCTGGGAAATTCTGGGAGTTGAAGTCCACACACCAGCAAGTTTCCAAGACTGGGGAATATGAAGATAAAGGCATTTGATTGAGCAAAATAGTGACTGGGCTGAACAATCCCTTCAGGGTGTTACAAGCCACAATTCATAGTTTATCCTGCAACAACACACTTCATTTAGGATTCTTTAGTAAAACCAAGTTATTCCCCAAAAATGTTGTTTTTGTTCTACGATCTCTTTCCATGAAATCAATTCTTTTCTCCCATGTCCTGTGCACGCTAGGCACCTCACTAACAGAAGGGAAATAAGGGTTTCCTTTACCTTTGTGTATAAAATGTAATAGTTGGGAGAGAACACCTTGAGGTCATCAAGACCAACCCCTGAAAAACCCATATCAAACCATCCCTGTGAGAAGGCTCATTCTGATTGGCAGACACCCCTCACCTCTCTGGGTCATAGGTCCCAGTTCTCTTCTTGTTCCTTTGGGCCAGTCACTTTCTCTACTTAGCTCAGCCCGCCTCACAGGGTTGTTGTTGTGGGGAAAATAGGAGGAAGGAAGGAACATTGGGTGTGTTCACCATCTTGAATATATGAAAGCGAAAGACCCACTCACGCATCGTCACAAAATCTCCAGAACTGTAAAGCCTACAAACTTGAAATTTGGCATGTCTGTTCCTCTTGGCTTCTAGGTGCTCACTAAGAAAGGATTTTTCGAAATGACCATCAGAGCATTTCCTATATTATTATTATTAACACGCTCTGATGCTAAGGAGTTTTACTCCCCCTCCCCACCTGAAAAGAAATCTGTTCCAAATGCAAAACACAAGCAGAGGAGTTTCAGGTTCAGAGCACCAAGCAGCTTTAGTACGGACCAGTTGAAACTAAGCCACTGCCTCCTTCTTGCGGACACAGCAAATACTCTTTCAGTTTCCAAACAGCCCTCAACTCTCTCACACACTGACAGGACGCTAGCCAGATGAATACAGACGGATGCTGGTAGGCAGAGGCACAATTCCACCCAACTTCTTTTCCTCCCCCCCAAACTAAGCCTGACCGCACAGTTTCATAGCGAAGCACAGGTATAGAGCTAGTTATTTATACAAAATAAAACAGGAACTGAATGAATGAATTGAATAAATAAATGTCAAAATCAGGCAAGCTCACAGATATTAGGGTGGTTTTTTTTTGTAATCGTTTTAATTTACATGTGCACATTTTTTTTAAAAAAAATCAACCACGTCCCCTTTCAAGTTCTCTTTTGACAGGCAGGCGTGGGGCCCTCCCCACCCCCCAGACTCCTGTCCCTCCCCACCCACCCCCAGCTTAGAATTATGGCACATGTTGTTTCTCAACCAGCAGCAACAAGTTGTTGGGGGGGGGGGAAGGAAAAAAAGTCATTTTTATCCGGGAGAAGGTTTCCATCTGTAGTGGGTAGAAATCGTGTCCAGAGGTTTGATGGGATCTTGTTTGGAGTCGAGTCTCTCGGCAGTTTCCGTGCCAGGGAAAAAGAGGGAAGGAAAAGGAGCTTTTGCAGAAATGCAAGGATGGGAGAGAAAGAGTGTGGCTGTTGGTTGGTGGTGCTTTTTTTGTTTGTGTTTTATTGGTTTACCATCTTGAGCTTTTGCGTCCTGCCCCTGGCGAGGAGGAGGAGGAGGAGGAGGAGGAGCAGGAAGGAGAGGAGAAGCAGGATCCAACGGAGGAAGAAACGACACCAGGAGAAGATTTCTGGGCTTTTCTGCTTTCATTGCTGTTTGGATTTCCGAGAGACCCTTTGGACCAGCTTGTAAAGGAGGCCGAAATGCTAAAGTAAAAAGAAAAAGAAAAGAAAGACAGAATGAGCAAGCACCCGGCTCTATCGACGTAGGGAATGTTTTGGTTTTTTTTTTTTTTAAACTTGGCAACGTTAAGACATGTGGGACTTCAACTCCCAGAATTCCCCCGGGGCCACGTGTGAAGCAAAATCAGGAATTGCTGATGCACCAAAGCATGAGAGATTATAAAAAGAAAGTTTACGTCTTGTTAATGTGGGATCAGCATCTAGATTTTTTTTCCATTACATTGGTACCTTGGCACTCGACTGCTTCAAAACGCAACAGATTTGGGTGCTTTTTAAAATTTAAAATGTCCTCCCAATAATCGGCCTTTGTTTAGTACTCAAAACGTTGCTGTCGGGAGAGCGGGGACAGCTGTGAGGGACGGACAGGAAGTCAGCCATGCCGGGAAGGTCACTGACACAGGAAAAAGAACAGAGGAAAAAGGCAAGTGGACTTTCTGGTTTTTCTTTAAAGACATCTCGCTTCTCATCCAAGAAGCTTCTTCAGCTCTGACTGGATGGTGGGGAACAGGATTTATAAGCCTTGCAGACAGCTGGTCATTTGCATCCTTGTTAAGAGAGTTGTTGAGGCCACCTGTCAAAACTGAACAGCCCTCTCTCAACCGAGGGGGAGGGATACGACGTCATCGATCTCCAGTCTACAACACAGTGCTTTCCACAGTCCCACGAAGGCTCCGCACCCATTTGCATCACTCAGGTGGCCCTGAGGACACAAGTAAACCTCCAGGTGGCCTCAACATCTCTCTCAAAGAATGCAAATGACCAGCGGTCTTCAAGGAGTAAATCCTCCCATCTTCCCATCATCCAGTCAGAGCTGAAGAAGCTTCTTGGGTGGGAAGCGAAATGTCTTCAAAGAAAAAAAACCAGAAAGTCCAGTTGCCTCTTGGAAAAAAAGCACCTTTGGGAGAACAAACAGAAAGTTCTTCCCGGCGGAAACAATGGGTTATATAGTTAACCACACAGTTTATTTGGGACTCGTCCTTTTTAGTATCCATCGCACCTCCCAGAACCAATTCACGCCAAGTACCGAGGTACCAACGCATAGGTTGGCGTGTGTCATCTTCACGCATTATTGTGTTCGATCGAGGAATATTAGGAAGAAGAGAGTATTAAATATTTATTAAATTTAATAAAGTAAACCTCTGGACCAGCTTGTAAGTAGGAGGCTGGGGTGCTAAAAAGACACAAGAGAAACTGCGAAAGCAGAGCCCTACCTAAGTTGGGTACAGGGTTTCTTCAAACTTGGCTACTTTCAGCTGATTGGTAACCGGAGCCAAACAAAATGCTAGAGCAAGATTTATTTAATGGTACTTATATGTCAAATTTAGAAGCAGCCCACTGCGCTTGCAAAGCAACTGAGGATTGTCTTTAGCCTCAGGTAACAGCGTCCCATGCACCTCGGTGTGTAGTCATGCCCGACACATAACCCACGGAAACATCCTCGGACAATGCTGGCTCCCTTAGGCTAAGAAATGGAGATGAACACCGCTTCCTAGTCGGACATCACTGGACAAGGGAAACCTTTTATCTTTTTAGTCTAATCCAGCAGGGCTCATTCCTACGTTCATCCCTTTATTTCGTGCAGCAAAAATGCCGTAGCAATCCACCGTGTGTGGGCACTCACCTGGACAGCGATGTATGCCACGCCAAGGTAGGCTGCTATGCAGAGAGCCAGGAGCAGGTCGAAGATGGCTGGCTTGACCCTGAAAGACACAAGCCACGTTCTCACACCCAGTCAGCTACTTGTTTGCATGCCTGCCTCTCGAAGACCTCTTTCTTCTCTCCCCTCTTCGGGCGTGCTACCATCCCCAAAAGAAAGGGCCAACTTTGATGGTGGTGAGCCAAATCAGAATCACTTGAGAGTTGGGCAGCATACTAGTTTAATAACATCTACTCTGTTTTCCTGAAAATACGTCCTAGCTTTATTTTTTACATGTGCGTCCAATACAAGCCCTACCCCCCAAAATAAGCCCTAATTAACATCCCGTCCATTCCAGAGTGCATGAGTAAAAATTAAGCTAGGGTGGGGATAGGTGTGCGTGGAGCTGCCCTACTACTTATCTTTGGACAGCTGTAGCCAGGCCTGGCACACCCCGACACTTGCCTTTTCTTCTGCAGCCGTCAAGGCTTTCTTGAAGGCCGCTGGAGCTGATAACAAAGCTCTGGATCGATCCAGAACTCTGTTCTTGGCTGCAGAGGCCTTCAGGAAAGCTTTGCCGACCTTGCTAGCCAAAGAAGAAGTTCCTGAAGGCCTCTGACAGAGAAAAGGAGGCCAGGGGGCGACACGCACAAATGAGGTTAGTCAGTAACATTCCCAGAAAATAAGACCCGGTGCCTTTTTTGATGACAAAAAAATATGACAGGGTCTTATTTTGGGGGAAACATGGTATAGATTTCTAAAACTCTCCTGTCTGTTTATCTGTTTGTAACCTCCAGTTAGCCCGTACGGTGCGTTTATGCAGGGACAAGTTTTGAACTAGACTGCCTCAAACCTGCTAACTTAAAAAGAACGTGCTTTTTATGCCCCGAGTCTTAAAGGAACGATCCAGGGCCAGTCAAACTCCAAAACACATTTTGTATTGTTGTTCCACACTTACCTATACGCGTTCATTACTTGCTTCAGCTGGTCATAGAAAACAAATTCAGGATCCCTGCATATATATATAAAAAAGGAAAGATCAAGAACGTTGAAAAGAGCTACGGCTTTTAAAGGTCGGATTGAAAACCCAGGGACGACCTTATACCACAGGGGTCCCCAAACTTGGCAACTTTAAGACTTGTGGACTTCAATTCCCAAAAGTCTCTAGCCAGCATAGAGTTAAAAGTCCACAAGTCTTAAAAGTTGCCAAGTTTGGAGACCTCTGTTATACCAAGTGAAAACACACGTCTAGCCTGGAAGTCATACAGGTATTCCTTGACTTACAACCATTTATTTAATTGGCCGTTCAAAAATTACAACGGGACTGGAAAAAAAAGTGATTTAGGACAAGTTTTAGCCTGCAGGTTCCTTGGTGTTCTCTTGAGCTCGGCGGTTTTCCTGCGGACATCTCATTGCCAAACTAGGCAACATCATCAGGGCTAAATAAAGAGGGGGCGACAAGTGGCCAGCTGAACACCTGGGAGCCCCATCACCCTCCTCACCGCTTGTCTGCCTTCACGTAGTGCTGCTTGACGTCTTTCAGGTAGCGGCTCAGGTAGTACTCCAGGGTGTTGATGAAGGTGCTGTCTTTGTCCACCAGCTGGGCAGCCCTCGGTTGACTGCTCAGCCAGTCCATCACCGACTCCATCTGCTCCTGCTGAATCTGCTGAATCAGGGAAGAGGGAAAGAGGAAGCCGGCCAGTTCTGCAGGTGAAAACCCCCAAACATCCTTCTTTCTCTCTCTTTCCCCCCCCTCCCTCCTCTCTCTCTCTCTCACACACACACAGAGCTCTCTGGCCAGGAGCTTACCATATGTTCAGTGAAGATTTGGAGGTCAGCAGGCACGCCCTAGTGAGGAAAGGAAGAGAGAGAAAAAAAGAGTTGGATGAAAATCCTGGGTTGTTTTTTTTTAAGGACTCAACTGTCCACAACCTCCGTTATCACCGCAAAGCTGAAAGACTAGATAGCTCCCCGTGCGAGTCCTGGGCTCCGTTATTGAAGGCCTGTCAACCCCACTGGAGAAATTTCTCATGTGGGCTCTCCGCTCGGTCCTCGGCCATTTGTGGGCAAGAGTGTCTTCAACCAGGTGGTCTTGGGTTGTGTGGGGCAGCGTTCCTCAAACTTTCCAGCTTTGCGGAATGGTGAGGCGGGAAGAAAGGGGTAGTTCCGGGCGAGCAGGCGCAGGCAGCTCAATTTGCACAAGCGGTCCGCGCGCGCGTCCCTTAAAAAAATGGAACTGCGTGCAGGCAGATCACTCGTGCAAAAGTGGAGCTGCGTGCACACTTGCCTGTCACTTCCGTGGCCTGCTTCCGAACGGCTGCGGCTCAGTACTGGGCCGCAGTCTGGGGGTTGGGGACCCCTGGTGTGGAACCCACCAGCATTGAGTCTCTGATGATCAGAGCTCAGGTGAGGTGGGTGGGACACAACATCGGAATGAATGCTTGGCTAATTGCTCTTTAGCAAGGGTGAGCGATTGGATGACCCGTGGACTTCGACTCCCAGAATTCCTGAGCCAGCCCTGCTGGGAGTCGATGTCCAGAGGCTGTAAAGTTGCTGGAACTGCCTGCTCCTCTTCTATAGTGTTCTGGAATCTGGAAAGAGACCCTGAGACGGATCGCCACTACTTAGCAATAGCACTTGGGACTTACACACCACTTCCCAGTGCTTTACAGCTCTCTCCAAGCAAGAAAGAGAGGTGTCTGAACTGATGGAAGATATTTTTTATTGTCCTTTTACCTCACACAACGAAATTAAATACCATCTTCAGTGTACATTATGACTATGAAAATAAAACACAAACACACATCCCTCACATTCTATACACTGAATTGAAAACCCTGATATTGCATTCATATTGCACTACAGAGTAGAATTCAATAAAGTTACTGCCCTGGGATAGAAGCTGTTTTCAGCCTGTTTGTCCTTGTTTTTATTATTCTGTACCGTCTGCCAGATGGTAATAGTTTAAAAAAAAAAGGGTGCCCAGGATGAGATGGATTTTGGAGAATGTTTTGAACTTTCTTAAGGCAGCGGGAGCTATAAAGCTCTTCCAAAGAGGGGAGAGGGCAACCCATGATCCTCTGGGCAATGACATTAACCCTCTGGAGTGAATTTAAAATAAAGCCGCTCTCTTCCACACGTCCGGTGAAGTGAACTGTTGCTCACAGAAGCCGGTGCCTTTTAATAAAGGAGCTTCTGGCCGGGGCAGAAAAAGGCTCTGCTCCGGGGTCCCCACCCGACAAAATTCCTTGGCTGATGGGGGTCTGCAGTAGGCCCTTCCTGCCATCACGTGTGGGGCAGGCCAATCCCATTGGGGAACCATGGATAAATCCAAGAAAAGAAAAGTTTCAGAAGCAAACAGAATGTTTATTTCAACTACATATGCTCGTTTTGTGGCCGCTCAGGAAATAGTCAAGTACGGGAAGGGTTTTTGTGGCTCCCGGAAACAGGTCCAAATGGCTCTTCGAGTGTTTTAAGGTTGCCGACCCCTGGCCTAGTCTGGCTCCCAAGGACTGTCAAGGGAAATCAGAAGATCCATAAAGGTTTATTGCAATCACTTAAGCTCGCTACAAGAATCTGAACTACTACGGGTATCAAGGCTGACTCATAACGCAGCTCTACTCACGATTTAACAATAGAAATGAAGGGAGCGGGAGGAGAATGCTTGGAATGTATTGGGAGCTGGGAGGGAGGTGGGGAATTTTTTGCGAGCCATTTGCAGCCTGAGAAGATCCTAATTCTTCAAGGCCGTGCGATGGGAACCTTCTGAAGGTGCAGACTGTTTTCCCAGAATAGATAAGAAGGTGTTGGATCGGTGGGCAATGGACAAAGGGTGGCCCCAACTGGGAAAAAAAAGGGGGAAGTTGACTATGCTGTTTTTCGCATGAAAACCTCAGAGCTAGCTTCGCTTCTTCTGTGCCTGTATGGATCTATCATAATGTTATATTCTTGGTAACATAATGTCCCAGGAGTTTCTTTTGCTGCATATGCCAACGGGACGGTTGACAAACGCTTGAAACAAATTGGCGGGAGATAAGAGTCCATGGAATTTAAGGTGGGCTGGACGGGATTAAGTATCTGGGGGTGCAGATAACTTAATAATCTGAACTGGTCTCTTCATACATCATCCTTAGTGAAGCGTGCATTTCAGCGCCTGCATTTCCCGCATCACATGAGGAGAGCACACCTCCCTCCTTCTGTCCTGCCCACTTTTTACAGAGGCACAATGGAGAGAGTTTTAACAAACTGCATCACTATTTGGTTTGGTGGCTGCAGTGCCTCAGGTAGAAAGTCCCTGCAGAGAGTAGTGAGGACAGCGGAGAAGATTATAGGAAAGCCGCTTCCTGTCATTCAAGATGCTGCTTATAGGCACTATGTGTTAGAGCTCAAAGCTTTGTTGGAAACCCCACACACCCACTTCACAGTCTGTTTCTGTTGCTCCCCTCTGGGAGGATGTTTCTAAGTATTTGTATCCGGGCTTCCAGGTTCTGTAAAGGCTTTGTTCCCTAGTCCATCCGTTTGGAAAACTCGCAAGATTCATTTCTCTCACCATGTAGCAATCGCAAGAGCCCTTAGACTTATATACCACTTTACAGTTCTTTACAACCCTCTTTAAGCAGTTTGCAGAGTCAGCCTCTTGCCCCCAACAATCTGGGTCCTCATTTTACCCACCTTGGAAGGCTGAGTCAACCTTGAGCCTGGTGGGATTTGAACTGTCAAATTACAGGCAGCCAGCAGGCAGCAGAAGTAGCCTGCAGTACCGCCCTCTAACCACTGCGCCACCATGGCTCATACACATGTATATATCTGGACTAGACTGTGTTGCTTCTGTGTCATATAATACAGGGGTCCCCAACCACTGGGCCCCGGACCGGTACCGGTCCGTGGATCATTTTGTACCGGGCCGCAAAGAATGAAAGCCTACTTTGCTTGGGCACCGCCATCTTGTTTTGACGGCGCTTGAGAAAGTGCTTCCGGGTGAGCTTGTCGGTCGTCGGTTGGAAAGCGGCGTTTGGGTGCTGAAGGAATCCTCGCGCCTTAGTTTCGTCGAAGGGGGGGGGCGGCTTCGAACGAAGAGCCGTCCCGATGGCGGTGGAGTCTCGCGTTACTCAGGAGGAGATTAAGAAAGAGCCCGAAAAGCCCATCGACCGCGAGAAGGTACAAAGGAGGAGTTGAAGGTGGCGGGGAGAAGCGGGGGACGGCTGGCTGGCTGGCCGGTCGCTCGGCTCGCCTTGCCTTGAGTCATTTTGTACCGGGCCGCAAAGAATGAATAATCGTGAAACTGGTCCCTGGTACAAAAAAGGTTGGGGACCACTGATATAATATATGCGGATACAGGCATAATTTTG